TAAATTGGATCAGTTAAGTATTATCATTCGTTATGTTCTTATCAATTATGAAAGTAAAACGTTGGAAGTAAAAGAATCGTTTGTTGGATTTTATAACTTAAAAAKTYACGGCGCAGTTGATTATGTAAACCTTACCCAAGATGTTCTAATAAAACTTGGTTTAGATATTAACAAATGCCGAGGCCAGGGAYACGACGGAGCCTCTGTGATGAGTGGAGCACATTCAGGAGTGCAAACAAGGATAAAACATATTGTTCCCTCTGCCAAGTATGTCCATTGCTGTAGCCATAATTTAAACCTAGTTATTTCAGATGCAGCAAAGTGTCACAGTAAAGTACAAAATTTTTTTGAAACTGTTCAAACTGTGTTCAATTTTTTTGCCAGTAGTGCCCCAAGATGGGCTTTATTAGCTTTGGGTCAAGATTTTGGCAATAAAGTTCAGAAAAAAGTTTTTAAAAAAGTATGCCCAACAAGATGGGAGGCTCGGCATGATGCTGTGTTTTCACTGAAAGAGCGTTTCATTGATATACTTAAGGCTCTGACTTGTATAATTCTCAACAGCAAGAAAACAACTGAAYGAACAATTGCATCTAGTTTGAAAAGTAAAATTGAAAACTTTGAATTTGTTTTAATATTKTGTACTTGGGAACCTATAWYACGATCATTGRGAGTTATTTCTAAAAAATTACAAAATGTAGATATGAACTTAGAAGAAGCTTCTACAATGCTTAATAATGCTGTAAATTTTATTCAAGAGACAAGAAATAGCTACAATGAAAATATACTAAATAATGCAAAATCACTGTGTTCAAGATGGGGAATTCCAGATAAATTTGTAGAAAAAAGATTATCTTATGCTAAAAAACAGTTTTATGACAATTTAAATGGAGATAGGTTACTTAACACAACTGAAGAGAACTTTAAARTTAAATTATTTTTTCCTGTGTTGGATACAGTTTTATCTCAACTTATTAGTCGGTTTCAAGGTATGCATGATGTATTAGAAGATTTCAATTTTTTAAACCCTACTATTCTTTCAACACAAACTRATCAATATATTATTAAATCATCATACGATTTTTGTGTAACATATAAAGATGATGTTAGTTCTGACTTCCCTCGGCAAATGTTATCTTTAAAAACAGTAATTAAAGATGAAAAATTAAAAACAATAAAACTTTTGGGTAGTTTTATTATAGATAATGATTTATCTAGTAGTTTTCCAGATGTTTTAAGTGCTTGTGTAATTTTTCTTACAATGCCAATCACTGTGGCAGGAGCAGAAAGATCATTTTCCAAATTAAAACTTATAAAGAATYACCTAAGAAATACATGTGGACAAGAACGTTTATCTAATATATCAATTTTAAGTATAGAAAAGGAACGAACAAAAACTCTTGACATTGAGAAGATAATTGACAATTTTGCCAATGCCAAGTCAAGAAAAAAAATTTCTTAAAATAGAATATTTTATTTTTTACTATTATATCAGAATCAGATATCTATATATTCTGTATATAATAAATTAATAATATATTATTCATTTTATTATACTTTGTACTTTGTAGTTGTAATTCATTATTTTGTAACTGTTTAGTTATCATAGTTGTAAATTTGTGGCTTTTTTTTAATAGTTTCAAAAATAGGGGCCTTTAAACTTTTGCACCGGGGCCCTCAGAGTTCAAGATCCGGCACTGGTATATAACCATATACCTAAAATAGATAAAACTCCTGCTTATAACTACTGGGAGCCAAATGTTCTATCTTAATAATAGATGGGGATAAAACGTCCGAGGACTCGTTTTTAAAGTTTTTTTAAAAGTACGATTTCAGTGGCGTAACTGGGATTCTTAAAGCCCCGAACACAATCAATTTATTTGGTCCTAACATTGGTGGAACCGTGGAAYTAAGGCTTGGGGCAAAGGGCTAGTAACTAATAAAAACATACAATAGCATAATAGTTAGTCTTACAAATACGCAACTGCCAACTATACTGTAATATAAATATAACTAAACATATTTTTAATTGACAAATTATTTAATATTATTTTTTAATTCAAAATATTCAAATTGTTGATACCAGAMATAAAATAGGTAATTATTACAAATTTATACGGATATTCTATTATTAATAAAACAATTTCATAGCCAGTCCATTAACACGATCGCCTAACGAACAAATAATTTACAATTTTATGGTGTCTAAAAGTGATCTGACCTAACACTGATTCGGAAATTGAGCAGCCAGAGGGCCAGCTCATTTACAAAAATTATGTCAATAAACACAGCTGGTAGAACGTGCAAGTAATTATTTGAATGTTACTTACACGCACTACAAATCTGAAGTAAGCATTCGAATGAACTTATATAGAATTTACATTACACACAGGGTAAGATGAAGACATTATTCTACTTCTTGTGAACTGAAAAAATATCTTAACTGTATGCAATGTTTAAATAATTTTTTATAGGAGTTTAACATTTGATGAATTAACAATATAATTATAATTGTTGATTTTTTTTATTT